CCTGGAAAATGTGCATAATCTTCCATATGTGCTTGTTTATCTATGGATCGTAGTAACGCTTACGAATAATTGTATCAAGCTGCCAAAAAATGAGTACCACTGTGGTAAATAGCTACCGATGATTGATTGACAGGTGACAGATGATAAACGATCAGAACCACATCTACTAACCTGTTTTGTACTTCAGATTTCCTGGAGTTCAAATAATACACAGCATCACTCTAACAATACCTGGATAGAACCTTTTTGTATTGGACAGTGATGTAGTAAATATGAATCACCACGAGAATTCAACAACTAGGTTTGAGAGAATAGCGTCGTGTGGGAACGTACAGCTAATTTAACCTCTACAGCAATGAAAAATCATGGAGTTCACTGAATATCAGTGTGAGATCTCCCAGGCCAAATACCAATTGAATATTTCAAACAGAGCAACTGTTCAGAATGATTCGCTTTACTAAGTCTTAGTCACAACCGATTTCCTACTACTGCTACTACGATGACTACTCCTACTACAATTACGACTACTAAATGCTTATACGGTCCTTTTTCTACCAGTTACTGGACTCCGTAAAGCAAAAACTGAGACGCATCTCGACTGGTGAACATTTGACACAATACACGGATGCAAAATTCGTGGCAGCAGAATATTCGTTCGTTTTCAACGGAATCGAGGTACTGATCGCAATTCACGATCCATTATCCATTGAGAATGGTTTCATTTTCCGGAATATAATTGTTCAAGTCAAGTGAAATTAAGAACAGTTTCATTGCAACTTTCGGTGTTGTGTTCGGTGTTGGCTGCGTACTACTACTACTACTGTGACCGATTTCGTGGTATCTTAGCATTGACAAAAAAGCATTTCCTTTCTTCACTGAGAATGACAGCAAGAGTAGGCCAAGGTCAGGCCGCGAGAGCTGAGTGGGATAGTTTTTTTTGAGACCAAACGACACACTACCCTGTATCAAACGTCCGCCTACACAATTTGAAAACGGAAGTTGGTCATTACGCACGCAGGTTTGGTTCACCTACTACTACTACTACTACTCACATCACCAACACTCACTGTTACGGCTCGCTCGCGGCAAGTAGTAGTGAGTGGAAATTTCAATCAATACTAAAGAGTGAAGTAATATTCCACAGATCGATTTTGTCCCCGCACTCTGTCCTGACTGAGGCCAAAATCCATCGTGTTTAAGCCGTTAACTATGAAACGAATTATGGGGAAAGGGTATTGACCAGATTTGCAACAAGATATTATTGTGACAAACTTTGTGATAAACAAAAAATACAGAGCAGAATCTCGATATGCAAACGAAACCTGTGCATGTTGTGCAGCTGAACGAAATGACCCTAACCAATTTCTGGTAGATATTACCCCAGGGAAAGTTTAGACGGCATCAGTGCAGAAGTCAATCAATTTATGTGTTTGACTGTAAGCAATTGATCTTCTTCTCTAGAATGCACTACCATTTGACACTACATTTGACAACCCAGAACACAGAAAGTTCAATTCTCTAACTGACGATGATGACCGGCGCAACAACACCGTGACCATCATTATCCCGTAAACATGAATCCACTCTCGGGCTATTGGGCTGACGTGTACCAGTGTTATAATTCCTAAAGGGCCAGTATTAGGTTGAGGAGAGTTACTTATTCGGAGAACAGCATCGGATAGGGGTAATAAAGGCTACATAGAATGAAACATCGAATTTGCAACAACTGGGTAGTATTTTTGTATGTTTGACCAAGTCAGAAGGGTGTATGATGCAATGAATGGGACGCTGGCTGCCAATAGTTTTCACCTGTCATGAAGGTTAAACTTTATCAATCCATAAACTGTAAATCACCGCCAAAATACTTACCCACTTTAGCCTGGACAATCTATCCATATTCGTCCCACTAGCAAACCAAGGGCCCCTTGGTTAAACAAGTTTTTCTAACGTGATTTGTTTGGTACAAAGTCTGGACGAAAACGTGTGTGGAAAATAATGAAATGATTTGTATCAGCCACAAAGCACAGACCCCATTTTTGTACACACCGAGTTTTCCCGCTCGCACTAATTTCATTCCGGTTGCCTCTCATCCGTTACTCACTGTGTCCGGGTGATAATAATCAGTTCCATCTAGCAGTGAGACATCCGGTTGGAATCGGAATTTTATTGGGGATTTTGCGAATCGTTAAATGTGAAATTAGAACTAAGGAAAACACACAGTTGTTTCACGATTGTCCGTAAAATCTCAGAAAGAACAAAATGAGGTCAATCTGCATGCACAGGGCGATTCTCTCCAGGAGAGATTATTACCTGAAGGCTATTCATAATGTACCGAGTGAAATCTTAATGAAACTGGAGTGAATCTAGAACAAATGAATTACAAATGTTTAAAACGTTACCATGAAAATTGCAACACAGACAATAATTTGAGAGACAAATGACAGGTGAAATGACACATAAATGAACAAAAAAATGGATAGATGGATGGATGGATGGATGGATGGATGGATGGATGGATGGATGGATGGATGGATGGATGGATGGATGGATGGATGGATGGAT